AGAGAGAGAGAGAGAGAGAGAGACATTGCACTCACTACTTAGAGGGATAACACTCACTACTTGTATCTCCCCTCCTCTCTTCCTAGTCACACTTTTTCTTGCGCTACTTTCACGATGTCAACTCCCTCTCTAGTTTCACAAACCCATCCGTTGACTTGGCATTTCGGATTCAGACTTTCAGGGAAGCTAGCAAGCACGGAGATAATGTACCCCCGCACAGCATGGCTGCTCGCATGCAGACGTGGCCACCGATGCTTTCACGGATTACTCCCTAGCTTACCCATTAAAAGGCGGCTGGCTCAGGCAGACAAAGGATCGTGCCGCACCACATTAAGGCCCGAGAAATTTCTAAGCTGCGATGTCATATAGTGGTTCGGAATGTAAACCAATCTGGGGAAGATTGTACTCCTTTTCTCATCAAGGTCCCTGCCAACTAACTCCTTTTTTGGCCCTAGGAATGCAGAATGCTGCAGTACGAGGACGACATAGCTGACCGTGCTTGGCTGTACGCATTAACATACCTGATGGGCATGTTGAAGCCTAACAAGCACTCAGCAATGCAAAACTACGCGTATGGAGAGAACGCCCTAACTTTCCAGCACGTGTTAATACCCTTTAACGAAACGTAAGGATGCCCCGGATAGTCTTAACCGTCGTTTAAGCGGGGTTGTGTCTGGCCTTCTTGTCATACGTTTCCGACTGACCACCGTCGCTCATGGCATGCACCCCGGGCCCAGGGCGCACTAGAGCTTGATCCTTTTGCAAACGACAAGCTCGAGGGGGATCAGTACTTTCTGCGACCATCCAAGATATACCATGCCAACTAAAAAAAGGTTGCGTTCTGAGTTTCAGGAGCTCATCTGCAGGTAAGACATGTGCATGTGGTTTATGTTTTGGTAGCCATTTGAAGCTTCATCTCCTCTCGTGCATGTGTAATCATGCGCATGCCCGCGATACGCCGCACCATTTCGTGCAGGTTTTTACGCTTCCAGTTCCTGGGACTCCGCCCATGGGCGTCGGAAAGCCAAGCCGACGTGTGGGAGGCTGCAATCACTTTCCATCAGATCGAGATACCCGAGATCATTCCCACACATCCCCCCCTTGTTGTTTGAGTGGTTACACATTACCACCAAAAGCCTTATAACACATCTTGTTTAATGTGTCTCTATTGCCAAACCCTCGTTCCAGGCCATAAGGCATATGAATGACCACGATTGCGGGATTTTTGTGAGTAAGTATACGCAGGTGCTTGTGGAGACTTGATCTGAGGATCTGGAAAAGATGCAGCTCTATCAAAACTCCACGCAATGGAGGGAGGAGGTGCATGCACTACACGAAAAGCACAACCGAGACTAGGGTTTAGTTGTGCTAAGACATGCTGACCATGTGAGGTGCAATTGGGCAGCGTTATGCGGAATACAAGATAGTCTGATTGGTGTTATGTCATTCACAGTGGGGAAAGACCGATAAGGATTGCAGCGCTCACAAATATATTCAAGTTAATGATTTCACAACGGTGTACAACTATTTGACAAAGTCAAACCTCGCGTGTACCTCTTAGTGAGGCTTTTTGTTGCTCAACAACCATCAGCATCACGCATGGGGTAGATGTAGGGCCGACTAAACTGCCATGAAAGAGCACTCACAAACCCTAGGTCACTACAATGGTGGAACCCCGCGGCGTTTTCCCCGCCCCTGCCGCGTCTCATACGTGGGGCGCTCATGTAGGTCAGGCGCATGTCACAGTGCCTGACACGGAGGACCAGTATGTGACGGATTCAATAAAGCAAGTAGTTCGTTTCTACACCCGATGTTCAACCAGAGGCTGGCATACGACCTGATGGAGCGTGCATCACCACCAAAGCGCGACCATCTGCACCACGCATGGTCCACGCACTTTGTGAAGGTCAGTCTGGACATGTTCGTTCCTCCCTTGCTACAACCCCATCCACCTTGCTGAGAGCCCGACGTAGATGGGCTTGAACCCCATGCTATGGTGTGCTTCAAAACCCGTGTGTTCCTCTTCCGTCGCAACAATGCGCGCTATGGAGTTGGGGGTTCGTGGATACGGCGTGGGGCAATATGTACGAGGCTGTGGGGATATACTTGCTCCACGTTGTGGATGAAGGCTCGTGGTTACACACAATTCGGTGCATCTCAGGCCTTCTGCCTATGGAGGAGCTCTGTACTCTACTGAGGTGTGTGTGGGGTCCGGTCGTGCTTCAGGTGGTGCACACGACTTCAGGTGGGGCGACTTACGGTGTTCTGGACTTCCAGGGGGTGCCACTTGCTGTGCAGGTATAGCTGTCTAGTCCTGGTGCATACCCCACCCTTCGTGCTTCGAACCCCGTACCCTGCCTTCTATTTCAAGACCGTCGCGCAGTGTGCTGTGTGGGAGCACTGTGTCATGATGCAAATCCTACCTCTGTTCTGCCATCTACCGGGGAGGGCGGACGTGGGGCAGGCTGTCGTCCAATTTGCAAAGTGGTACGCAACGTTCTTCCGTATGGAATACCGCATGGATGAGTCGCTTGACAACAGCATCACGCAAATAGATACGTACGCTCATTGTGGGATTTGAGGGTCGGGGGTTGCACTTCGAAGGTGTGGTTTAAGGTGGCTCAGGAATATGGGGTGCTACTGGGCGGTGCAATAGTCTAATAGTGAGGCAATGGAGATGGCAGCGGTGGGATGAGACTGCGCGTGATTAGGACACGGGGGGGGGATACAACGGGACTAGCACGAGGGTGCGGGAACAGAGCTGGGGATAGGGGAGGACCGCACCTATAAGGGATGGGGGACCCCAAGTTGGAGGGTAGAAAATACTCCAATTCTTAATGCAGGAACTTCAAGAACGTCCTATCATTGGCGAGGATCGCTGACGTATGCCCCTGGTTGCTGACGTATGCCCCCCCGAAAAATTGGCTCCGTCTATGTTGAATATCGAACGGTTGGCAATGCTGCTCGCCATCGATGGGGACCCTAGGTGCAACTGCTCGAGGTTAGTCGGAACTTAGTAAGAAAAAATTATTCACTCACGCAATCGAAAAGTTCGACTCCATCCTCGGCGTGCTCCTAGAAGCCCAGTGGGTAAGCGTTAATAGAAAACCTTGTCCTCTGATTACCAAGTGTCACATGTCCAGGATTTAGCGGAAGATTGAATGATTCTAATCAAGAATTCAATGTCTGGATACAAGCAAAGAGTCAATGCTATATATACCTATGATAATTCTAGGGACGAGTAACAAGGACCTTCTAAGAGAGTTCTAGAACTCAGTGGAACCGTCCGTAGGAACACCACCTAGAAGCACCTAAGGGATTCTAGAAATACGATGATGGTGATGGAACAATCCACGCAATAGAAAACGTGTCACACAAGAAAAGTCCGAAACACTCCATAACACATATCATATATAATATATCACAGTGTAGGGGAAGAGTGCAAGGATTTTCATAAAAGGAAAAACACACAAAATAACACACAATAAATAGCAAATATGCAAATGGATGTGATCAAGGATTCGGCAAGCCTTATACTCTCACAGACCCCGAGTTGAGCTGTGTAACATGCAAGGTGGGAGTGAGGGGTCGGTGAGGGCACATATTGAGGGACGGTCAGGAGGGGGTTTTCGTGGAAGGAGCGGGGTTTGAATGGGAGGCACCAGGGGGGATCCGCTGGGTGAGCTTGTGGTTGGACTCAGGGGGGCACGTTGGAGGATGCATGCGACAATTTGTCGAGAGTGGGGGGATGGGGGGTGGGAGAACAGGGTGCGAGAGATGCCCCCCTGCCACTCCCCTTGGGATTTCCCAATGGGTGAGTGGATGGTTTGTGGATTGAGTGTTGCATAGCTCTCCGGAATTGATGTCCGAGTGCATAGCAGCGTGGTAGCACTACAAGTAGACAGTCCTTGGACGTATATGGTGTTAGGATTAAGGACGGAGTCTAGGTGAACTTAGGAGCTAGAATTACTCAAAATATAAATCCGAAATTCTGGACAGAAAAGTCGTCTTTACAAGAAACGACGTCGACGAAAAACTAGCCGTTGGAATGTCGCGAAACTTGGATATGTTGTAGCTCTTAATCTCAGCTACCGTTCCCAATTTGAATCACGTTGATTGATGAAGTATTCGCGACGCTATGGCTTTCGACGCATTAGGGGGTAAGCTGTAGGAGGAGAACTTAACTCAATCTCAAAGGTTCAATCAAAGTTCAAGAATCTCACAAGGAATTAGAAGGAGCAAGAGAAAGGTTGGGATAGGAAGAGAGGGATGAGAGGGAAGGTCCCAAGAGAGTCCCCAACCAAGGAAACCCCATAAGCACAAAGATTCCCTCCCTATAGGAACCTCAACTTTGACCTTTGTCCCTTCCCAACCAATCCATCCAAGTTGGCCACCCTTGCCAACCTAGCTTGGTTGTTCCCAACCAATTTGCAGCTGTTACAGTAGAGTGACAAGTTTCCCCAACCCCAAAGGTCCCAACTCCATATAAAGTCACCCCACAACTTCACTTAGTAACCGCCGCAATTGTAACGCAAGCTCATGAACTTTGAATCTTCATAGCTTTCGCGTTCTTGCTCCGATTGAAGCGATTCTTGTTGCGTCGGAAAGATCTTCTCAAGATCTATCATCACAAATACCTGCTCAGACAGAATAACACAAAACACATTCCCAAACTCCAGAACACACCACACACAAATGCTTGCACATTCAAACCACACATGCAAGTTGAAAAAACATGGGATGGGAGGCAGACAGAATGTGATAGCATATGATGACATCACACAACAATCTCCCCCTCTGGCTGCCAACCATCATCCACCATACCACATCTCAAGCATGCATACTCAATGCACACTCATCCCAGCAAGCTTCATGCCCTTCCAATGATCCGCCTCCGCCAGACGCTTGGTGAAAATATCTGCTGCCTGCTGATGGGTCTTCACTATCTCCAGCCGCACCTCCTTATCAAGGAGTCTCCTCACCCAATGCCACTTAGGCCTTATGTGTTTTGTCAGCCCATGCAGACAAGCATTCTTGGCGAGCTTCACAGCGGACTCATTGTCACAATGTCCATCTGCCGTATCTTCCATCCCAGGAGTGCAGCTATCGCTAACAGCACCCTCAGTGTTGTTCCTTTCCCCACAGGAGCAAACACCTCATCATAGTCCTTCCCCTTTGTCTGCTGAAACCCCCGTGCCACAAGCCTAGACTTGTAGCGGGTCAGCTCCCCTTCAGGTCCATACTTGTGCCTGTAGATCATCTTGGAAGTGATTGCCTTCTTTCCAGGAGGCAAGTCACACAGGTCCCATGTCTCGTTTTCAATCAGGGACCCGAACTCCTCATCCTCACTCGCCTTCCACTTCTCCCCATTTGGTCCATTCAAGGCCTCCTCTCGAGTCTTGGGCTCAGGGATTGGTGCCCAGTAGCAGTGAGCGATCTCATCTTCCTCAATCTGCTCAACCACACTCCCAGCCTGCACCACATTTGGCTTGCCTCTTCCCCCATAGGTCAGCCTCACTGGAGGGCGCACATCCCTCCTAGGACGCTCAGGCGGGTGTGGAACTCGAGGTGGAGACTCATGCTGCTGCTGCTGCTGCTGCTCTACTTCAGCTGCTCCCCCTTCCTCAGTCACCCCAGACATCTCCTCCTCTGACACTGCAACCTCCACCTGTCTTGAAGGCTGCTGCACCTCATCTGCCTCCACAATGAGCGGTGTAGATGGAAGCTTCTGTTGCTGCTGCTTCCATTCCTTGTAGTACAGGGACTCAAGAAACTTCACATCCCTTGACACTGTCAACTTCTGGGTGGTCAGGTCCCATAGCAGCCACCCCTTGTGATCCTTTGCAATCCCCAAGTGCACACCCCATCTTCCAGAAGCCTCCAACTTCCCCCTTTTCTCCTTAGGCACATGAAACACCACCATGCACCCAAATGCCCTCAGCATGTTCACAGCTGGAGCACTCCCATACCACTTGACATATGGGATCCACTCCTTATCTCCAACTGTAGCCAGCACCCTGTTCTTCACAAGGGCGACCTGCCTCAGTGCAGACACCCAAAACGGATCAGGCAGCCCTGCACGCCCAAGGAGAGTGCGTGCCCCCTCCTGCAGGGTCCTGTTGAACCTCTCAGCCACGCCATTCTGCTGCGGGTTGTAGGGCACTGTCAGTTGATGTTGGATCCCCTTCCTCTTCAACTCCCCCTCAAAATCAGCTCCAATGAACTCCCCACCATTGTCACTGCGGATCACCTTCACCTTGTATCCGCATTCCCTCTGAGCTCTAGGCATCCACTCCTTAAGGACAGCCGCTGCCACCTCCCCCTTGCTCTTCAAAGGGTAAACCCACACTGCCCGAGTGTGGTCATCCACAATTGTCAAGAAATAGCGGCTGCCTGAGAGGGAAGGGGCTCTTGTGGGCCCCACCACATCCATGTGCACAAGTGCAAGTGGGGTCTTGGCTGGTCCTGTAGTGCTGTTGAAGGGGAACTTGGAGAACTTGGTCTCCAAGCATGTAGGGCAGCTCCCAATCTCCTTCACTCCCCCTTTCACCTCCAAGCCCTTCAGGCTCCCATCCTTCACCAACTTCTGCAGCATAGGGAAGTTCACATGACACAGCCTCTCATGCCATGTCTCCCAATCGGCCTCTCCACTCCTTGATGAAGCCTTAGCCCATGCCGCACTCGCATCCACACCAGCAAGCACCTCACCATGTGTCTGCTGCTTCTGCACTTTCTTGACTGCTTCCAGCACCCCATCAGTTGGTGCAGTTGCATCTCCTCCTGCTGTTGCCTTTGCCACTGCTGCCGTTGCTGCTGTTGGAGTCTTCCCATTCCATGGGATGATGGGCAGCTGCCACAGGTCCTTGATGCAGCTGGTCTCCTCTTCCAGACTCCACAGCACCTTCTTCCCAGGCTTAGCACGGCAGCTGGTTGGTCCAAAGGTCACTTCGGCCTTGCTCTTCTGCAGTCGTGCACAGAGAGAAGGTTAGCAGACAAGCCTTCAACCAGCAGAACATTCCCAAGCCCCACAAGCTCCCCATTAGCTCCCTTAACCTTGGCATTCCCAACACCAATAACGGGGAGCAAAGCACCTGACGCTGCTGCCACATACTTAATCTTCCCAGGGGGTTTTACCTCATCAAGCAAATCTGCCCGTGGAGTCATGTGACTGGTGCAACCCGAATCAATCACCCAGTGCGTGAGAGGGTGCATCACAACCTTTCCCACAGATCCCACATCACCCTCATGCCCATGCACATCCTCAACCATAACAAACAAACCAGGATAGGCATTACCTTGTGCACCTTCACCTTGTGCACCTGAGCCTTGCACAGCGCCACCTTGTGCGCGTTCACCACTGGGCGGCTTCATGCCTGGAGGTGCCCATCCCTCCAGCCTGCTGAAGCACTTGAACCAAGGATGCCCAACCTTCTTGCAGTACCAGCACGTGCCCTCCATTCTGGTACTCCCCCTGCCACTAGAGCTCCCATGCCCCTCATTATAGTCACCTCGGCCTCTACCTCTGCCAAAGCTCCTCCCACGGCCTCGGCCTCTCCAACCCCCTCTTCCTCTGCCGCGCCCTGCAGCTCCATACCCCTCAGCAGTCTTAGTGGCAGCACCGCCTCCCACATGGCGTCTGCGGAAGTCCTCCTGCAGAATCTGCTGCCTTAGCCACTCAGGTGTCCATTGATCTTGCTGAGAGTTGAGGGTGGGGATGAGGTTGTCCCAAGAGTTGTCCAACACCGAGATGATCTTGGTGCACTGCTGCAGCTGAGATACACTGCTGCCCGCTGCTGCCATCCTTGCATAGGTGTCCTTGATCTTGTCAAGGACCGGCTTCACATCGTCCCCTGGTCGCATGGAGATGGCAGCAAGTTCCTTCTCGAGCACGATCACCATCAGGAGAGTGTTGGGCTGAATCACATCGCGTAGTAGTTTCCACGCCCTTGGACCCGAATCATCCGCTTCCACAAGATCCTTGATGTGCTCGAACATCTCCTTGTTGACCGATTGAAGGATGAGGTCGAAAAGCACCGTGCTTTTCTCAATCCACCGTTCACGTGCTTCGCCTTCTTCCGGCATCTTCTCTTCCCCAACAGCAATCTTCAGTAGCTTGTAGCGTTTGAAGGCACTCCTCATCCGTCCGCTCCATTCCTCATAGTTGGAGCCATCCAAAGCTTCAACTTTTGATGGCGGCGGCTCACTTGTCTTCTCAGGTACAGCTCCTCTTCCATTAGCATCTCCTCCTCTCTCATTCATCTTCTCCTTGAGAAATGACGAATTTCAGCTCCCCTTTGCTGTCCACACTCAGCTCCCTCGATATTTTCACAAGTGTCGGCGTCCACGAAATTTCGGCAGAGTTTCCCCTTAGCGGAAGACACATCCAACCTTTAGAACACCACTTAGGCACACCCACAGGCCATGGTGGGTCTAGAAGGGTCTTCAAACTTCTGTAGACTCCTCTCAATGTCCTTAATATTGCTCTGATACCACTTGTTAGGATTAAGGACGGAGTCTAGGTGAACTTAGGAGCTAGAATTACTCAAAATATAAATCCGAAATTCTGGACAGAAAAGTCGTCTTTACAAGAAACGACGTCGACGAAAAACTAGCCGTTGGAATGTCGCGAAACTTGGATATGTTGTAGCTCTTAATCTCAGCTACCGTTCCCAATTTGAATCACGTTGATTGATGAAGTATTCGCGACGCTATGGCTTTCGACGCATTAGGGGGTAAGCTGTAGGAGGAGAACTTAACTCAATCTCAAGAGTTCAATCAAAGTTCAAGAATCTCACAAGGAATTAGAAGGAGCAAGAGAAAGGTTGGGATAGGAAGAGAGGGATGAGAGGGAAGGTCCCAAGAGAGTCCCCAACCAAGGAAACCCCATAAGCACAAAAGATTCCCTCCCTATAGGAACCTCAACTTTGACCTTTGTCCCTTCCCAACCAATCCATCCAAGTTGGCCACCCTTGCCAACCTAGCTTGGTTGTTCCCAACCAATTTGCAGCTGTTACAGTAGAGTGACAAGTTTCCCCAACCCCAAAGGTCCCAACTCCATATAAAGTCACCCCACAACTTCACTTAGTAACCGCCGCAATTGTAACGCAAGCTCATGAACTTTGAATCTTCATAGCTTTCGCGTTCTTGCTCCGATTGAAGCGATTCTTGTTGCGTCGGAAAGATCTTCTCAAGATCTATCATCACAAATACCTGCTCAGACAGAATAACACAAAACACATTCCCAAACTCCAGAACACACCACACACAAATGCTTGCACATTCAAACCACACATGCAAGTTGAAAAAACATGGGATGGGAGGCAGACAGAATGTGATAGCATATGATGACATCACACAAACAGCAGCATCTTGCAAGATGAGCTCAAACAGACCATCGATTTTTTCAAGCTTTCCCCCTCAGAGGTCATTTTCGAGCACGACAATGATCCCAAGCACAGGTCTCGTCTGGTCCAAGAGTGGCTTGGGGAGCAGGAGTACGCAGTGCTGGAATGGCCGTCGTGCTCCCCGGACCTTAACCCGATTGAGCACCTGTGGGCACACTTGAAAAGGCAGCTGGGGAAGTACGAAAAGCCGCCAAGTGGAATGCTGGAGCTGTGGGAGAGGGTGCAGGAGGAATGGGACAAGCTACCGGCAGAGGTGTGTGCAAACCTGATCGACAGCCTGCCGAGGAGGATCAAGGCAGTGATTCGGGCAAAGGGACGCTGGACTAGGTACTAGTTTTCACAGAATCTAGTATGCTACCAGTTTTCGGTACAAATTGTCCGGATGTTATCCTATGCTATGCTTAGGTGTTTAAGGACCATGTGTGGTACTACTTTGGTGTTTGTCAACACGAGTGAGTGCTCTAATTGAACTTCTCAGCGTGTATGCACACCATACATTAAGGCTTAATGTTTACATCGCTGCATTTATCAAAATCCCAAAAAAGGCTGAACATGTGGACAATTTATTCCGCCACTGTATGTCTCCTGACCCGATGCCCTCGTCCCACTTCTGGTCTTGCCGTCCCTCTCGTGCTTGTCCCATGTCTCCTGTCCAGCGCTCTCACCCTGTGTTGCTTCATTCTCATGCGTCTCGTCCTCCCCTCCTCCCGTCGCCTCCTCCGTCGTCGCCGGTTGTTGCTCCGCCTCCCCTGCTTGACTTCCTCCATACAGCTAGTCCCCTTGTTTCTCATTTCCTCGCCTCTCTTGTTACAGACCCGTCAGTTCCTGTCTCCTGTCTTGACGCTCTTCTCGCAACCATCGCTGACTTTGCCTCTACCCGCCGCCTTGACTACGCCACCCCTCTGGTCTGTGACCCTGCCCATCCTCCGTCCGTCGGGGGTGCTACTGCCCTTGGTAGTGACGTCATGGAGGACCGGCGGTATGAGCTAGCTTTCGTGTACGAGGCCCGCCTCATCTCTACTCCATGTTGCTAGTCCCTGAGGGTGACCCAGACGCCCTTGGCATCCCGACCCCTCCCACTTACGCTGAGGCGACCTCGGGACCCCGAGCCTCTCGGTGGATAGCTGCCATGGACGCAGAGATGGCATCTTGGAGGTCAACCGGTACCTACGTTGACGTAGTTCCCCCATCTGGGGTGAACGTAGTCGATGGCCGGTGGCCAGGTCCTTCAGAGAATCGGTTTTCAGTTTTCCTCCGCACAGCGCACACCTCTGCCAGTAGATCACAAGCTCTCAGCTCCAGTCCATGAGGAGTCAGAGCTGGTGGGTTGCTACATGTACTTGATGACTTGCACTCGTCCAGATCTCGCATACACTCTTAGCATCCTGGCTCGCTTTGTGGCCACAGGCAGACACCGACCACAGTACAGGTCACCCGCTAAGAGGGTTTGCGTTATCTAGCAAGTACATCGGGCATGAGGCTAGTGCTAGAAAGACGCATGCCTGTGGTCCGTACAGGGCACAGACAACGCTGAGAAGCTCAGGTCCCTCCCAAGGGCTAGTGCTTTAGCCCTGGTGCAGGCGTCATCTCGTTGAGGTCCACTCGCTCGTTGTGTGCTGCATAGTCTAGCTGTAAGGCTGAGATCTACGCTGGTTCCATGGCGGCACAGGAGCTCCACTGGCTGACTTTCTTGCTCACAAACTTAGGTGAGCGGCCTAGCTCTGCCCCAGTTCTGTACGCTGACAACAGGGCCATGATCCTCCTGTGTCACGAGACTCAACTGGAGGGCAGAACGAAGCACATTCAGCTGCGGTACTTCTTCCTGCGCAAGCTACAGCAGCGCCGCCAGGCCCGCGTAGTACACTTGGCCTCCGGTGCCAACACAGCTAATATCTTTACGAAGGCACTTGCGCCTAAAGATCATCAGCGGCACTGTGTACAGCTTGGTCTAGTTCCAGTAGCTTCTTACTTGTTAGGGCCCTGATGTAAACCTCCTCTTATATTATATTGACTTGCCTTGTGGCCAAGGTTGATGTTTCAAAAATGGGCACCCTTAGCCAACCCCCTTGAATATATATATATATATATATACATATATTTATATATATAAATTAAAATGAAAATGAAGGGCCTGTTGGTGCAACCCTATGGCTTGCACTCGGCTTGTCGTCCATGTTTGTGTGTATGTGCATGCATGGCATGTAATGACTTGTGATTCTATGTCATAGCTATCTAGTGCTTGTGTGTGTGTTTAAATGGTGTATCACAATATGGTTTGTGTCGGTCAAGACATTAGCGAGTTTTCACAACTCGCATCTCCAGTCGTCGTTTGCGCGTCGCATGTGCTTTCTCTATTTTGTCGAGTGTGAAGTGTCCATCTCATTGCAGGTGTGTGCAGCAAGTCCTCATCATCTCAAAAAGAATTGATCTTGCTGAACCAAGACCAAGAACTCAAGATTTCAAGCCCAAGGGACGTGGACAAATATTAAAATAGTGAAAAGAGTAATTCTACTTCAAGTAGTGTTATATTTCACTTGGTGTAGCCCCTTGTTGGGTTTGTTTCGAGTCTCCTCATGGTTGGGGACTCTGTGGTGGTGTACCACCAACTTGGACCGCGGCTCTTGGGGTATGTAGAGGCTGGGAACCATCCCTACCTCGAATTCTTCTTCCTAAGTTTTTTTTACTCCTAAGACTATAGTGGCTGC